GACGATCCGGGTGTCGTTCTATTAGAGGTTTTACGGTATAAGGATTGAGATAATTCAGCTCAAACTTAACAGCGTGGGGCCCTTCTATTAGAGGTTTCCCGGCAGTTGCAAAATCTTAATGACCTAGTAATTTTGATCGGAGCGTTTTAGGCTCAAGTAAGCTGGTAATGTAATTTTTGAACGCTAATCGATCTTAGTTCCTTCCTCCCAACTGACAACATAAAGAGCCCAAATGATTTCCGCGCACACACCTGTGTAATTCTACCTCATCGAAACCATTACAAAAAGTTGTGGTGTCTATTGGTACCTGTCTCGTTTTACCGCACTTTTTGTTGCTTCTGCTTTTCTTATAAAGTTATTTTTTATCTGAAAATTCCGCAGTACGCATCAAGAGAGAACCAGAAAAAAAACAAAAAAAGAAAATAAATAATCGAATATCTTCCACTTTGTTTCTCTAATTTTGATCCACCCCTTGTCTCCCCGGATCCCGCCTTTTTTTTATCCCTTCACTTTTTTCTGGGGGCCCTTCTTGATTTTATGATGCACATGCTCTTCGTTTTGTTCAGCCCCGGACCAGGCGTAGGAGGCAGAGAACGAGTATTTTTCTCAAATTTCCAAACTTTGAGTTCTGAAACTAAAGTTAGAAACTATGAATCAGTCCTGTTTCACAATCAGATTTCCAGTGTTTTTTGTTGCAAAATTGAAAACTATGAATCATTTTTCTAGAAAAAAGTTTTTCGGCTCCGTTTTCATCTACTGTAACTTTGAGCCATATATCTCGCTTTTTTTAAAAGTTATCAAAAAGTAGTCAACTAACAAAATGTTTATCATAATACTAAAAATATTTTGTTAGTTGACAATTTTTTTTGTATCTCTCACAGAATCCGAGATATATAAGCTCGAAGTTGAGGTTTGTTTAGACACTTTAATTTACCGTAACCTGCACTTTGAGCCCATATATCTCGGTTCCTGTAAAGGATATCAAAAAGTAATCAACTGACAAAACATTTTGGATATTATGATAAACATTTTATCAGTTGACCGCTTTTTTGTATCTTTAACTGGAATCGGGATATATGGGCTCGAAGTTGGATGGCCTTCTATTAGAGTGTTTACGGTAATTCTGATAAATTCTGGATATCACAAATGATCACTTCCCTTTCATTTCAATTTTTGTCAATTTTTTTTCTCATCTCTTTTTCTCCAAGCAATCAGTGATCTGACCAGAGACCTCCCTCCCTCTCTTCCTCTATTCTTATCGATAAGAGAAAAGAGAGATTTGACCAGTAGTCAAGTGAAAAAGAAGAAGAAGAAGAAGAAGTGAGGGGGATGTACTCTGTTTCTCTCTCTCTTTTCAAGATTTCTTCAGCTTCCATCCGAACATTTAGCATCTTTAGATCCCCTCACGGGCTCCCGAGACACATTGTTACACCTCCCTTTCAATTTCTCCGCACTCTCTCCCCGTATCATACTCTCTCTTCCGGTATCCGCCCCCTCAGAAGAGATGGATCCATCGACTCCGGACAGAGATGAAGCCAGCTGCTCAACGATCCTTCCTTCTTCTACTATTCGGCTAGTCTATCAGAAAGAGTATGGAGATTTAGAGAGACGCAAAGATGCAAAAAGAAAGATAGTGGTTTTTGATAAGTGCCGTACTGATTGGCAGCGGGTTTCTTTATCTTTTTCTTTTGACCCATTTTATCACCCGGTGTTTAGATGTCTTGAAACCTTCCTGGTTAAGGGTATTAAAAAGTTTTCGTGCGAGCTAACTTTTGTGTCAGTGTTACACTGCGAAAATCGGAAGAGAGAAGTTCCGGAGACAACTAGTTAGGTTATTGTCAATGACCTCCAATTAAATTTTGTTAAAGTTTTCAAAATTGTGATAGTCCTCTATTATCCCCTAATGCTGATACTGTTAGTTTGAGATTAATTCTTTTATTTCCTCTAATAGAAGCCCGCCCAACGTTGAGCTCAATTATCTCGGTTCCTGTATAAGATATCTAAAATTTGTCAACCGATAAATTGTTTATCATAATATCAACTTCATTTTTTCAGTTAACAAATTTTTGATATCTTCCACAGAAATTGAGACAATTAAGCTTGCCCATTTTCGTCCATTTCCTGTATTTCTTCTAATAGAGACCCCTCTTTCCGTGCACTTTGAGCTCAATTACCTCGGTTCATGTAAGAGATAGAAAAAAGTTGTCAACTGATAAAGTGTTTATCATAATATCAGAAGTGTTTTGCCAATTGACACATTTGTGATATCTTTCATAGGAATAGAGATATGTGAGCTCAACGTTGAGAGTGTGGGGAACTCTTCTATGACATGTGCACAGGTGATTCGCGAACAATCCGTTCGCATTTTACCTGTGGTGTTAGGGCATTCGAGCTCGTAAAAATGTTATGAAAACCATACTAACTGAAAAAAGTTTTTGCTCAGGCATTTTCAACTTTCAGACCTGTTTTTCGGTTCCTAAACTTAACATTGTCTCTATTGTCTCTAAGCCTGGAACCCACTCATTTCTTGGACACCTCATTCCATCTTAATTGTTGTTGACACTCATTCTCGACTCGACACCCCGTCAGGTGTGTTTTGGTCCATCTTCAACAATTCTCTCTTTTTTTAAAGCTGACTCGCTTGACCACTCTCTGTTGTTACCGAAAATAATCGGAATCACTCTAATAGAACGCCACCCAGATCGTCAATTTTGAGCTGATATATATCGTTTCTTGTAAAAGATATTTAAAAAAAAGGTAAACTGACAAAATGTGTATCAGAATGTTACAAATATTTTGTTAGCTGCCTACTTTTTTATATATTTCACAGGAACCAAGATAAACTGGTTCAAACTGGAAGTTTAAGAGGGAGGTACTTTCTAATAGATTAGAGTGTTAATGGTATTCTTGCAAAGTTTGAGATTTCGTCTAACGGCCACAGGTAAAATGCGAACGGGTTCGTTACGGACGCTTNATNGANTCCCACGGTTACGGTATGTACCTCAACCAGACGATAAAAGACTCCAACACTAAAAATTCTACTTTTGAGAGCTCAAATATAATTTAGCTTTTACGTATTTTAAACAGCATTTTCTACATTAGTTCTTTTTTTTGAAAAAAGAAGGATAACCTTACCAATAAGCATCATCATTCAATGTCCTATAACTTCCAGACCTTGCAGGTGGCTTGGGTCTTCTTTGGAGTGTCGACGTAGGAGTAATAACTGCTCTTTGTGCTTGTTCCACCACCTGAACATT